ATTATATTATATTATATTATTATATTATATTATATTACTTATAATATAACGTTCAATCAAAATAAATATTTATATTATAAATTATTATTTATATATTTATTATTGTTAAGATGGTCCGGACATATGTGAAAAAAACAGATCGAGGTCAAGTACCTGAAAATATATACAAACAAGCAGCTGATGAAGTTATTTCAAAACAAAATTCAATCAGGAAAGCTGCTGAAAAGTACAATATTAACTTTATGACACTTCAACGTTATGTTAAAAAAAAGTCAAAACCAGACTTGGATAAGAATTGTACACTTGTTGGTTATGCAAAACCTAGACAAATATTTTCTGAAGAATTAGAGTTAAGTTTATCAGTTTATTTAGTACATTGTTCTAGAATATACTATGGTTTAACTCCTTCAGATGTAAAAAAATTAGCATATTAATATGCAAAATTAAACAATGTTTCATATCCTGAAAACTGGAACAAGTATAAAGAAGCTTCTAAAGATTGGTTTTCATCATTTTTAAAAAGACATTCTAATTTGTCCTTACGTTCTCCTGAAGCTACTAGCCTTGGACGAATTACAAGTTTCAATAAAAATAATGTTGATACATTTTTTGATAATTTGCATTCTTTATACCAAAAATATAAATTTGATGGCAATAGTGTGTGGAATGTGGATGAAACTGGAGTAACAACCGTTCAAAAACCAACAAAAATAATTGCTGAAAAAGGTAAAAAACAAGTAGGTAGAGCTACATCAGGAGAAAGAGGCATAACAGTTACAATGGTCTTTGCTGTTAATGCCATTGGTAACTCATTACCACCGATGCTTATTTTCCCAAGAGTAAACTTCAAGAGTCATTTTATTAGCAATGGGCCTATTGGTTGTATTGGAACAAGTCATCCTAGTGGTTGGGTAACTGCTTCATCATTTCTCCAGTTTGTCCAACATTTTCAAAAACATGTTCGCTGTAGTCCAACATCTCCTGTACTATTATTGTTGGACAATCATGTTTCACATTTATCAATTATTGTACTTGATTTTTGCAAAGATAATGGTATAGTTCTTTTATCATTTCCTCCACATACAACAAACCACTTACAGCCATTAGATGTTTCAGTATATGGTCCTTTCAAAACATTTTACTATACTGCAGCAAGTGGGTGGATGGACTCACACCCTGCTGTTCCAATAAGTATTTATAATATACCAGCTATAGTAAAAGAGGCTCTACCACTGGCAGCTACTCCAAAAAATATACTTTCTGGATATAAAAAAACAGGCATTTGGCCATATAATAGAAATATTTTTACTGATGAAGATTTTTTATGTTCTTCTGTTACTGATAGAACCTACACTTTAGGAGGTGAAAACACTGAAAACCATAGTACTGAACAGTCATCAATTAATCAAATTATTGAAAACATTGATATTACTTTAACGTCCAATACACTTCCACCATTAACTCTTTCCGGCACGGTGGGATACCATATATCCCACCTATAAAATTACATTTCCGGCACGGTGGTACGAAAAATAACCCACCTTTTATAATAATTGTTATCGATAGTTCACAATAATTTTTCGCTTATACGTTTTATAAATAGTTTTATTAGTATATTTCAATGTTATTTTCTAAAATTAAAACCGAAATTAAGTAATTTCATGTTATTTATGACTATTTCCCCGATTTTTTTTTTTTATTTCGACGACCAGCCAATTATTATTATTTGTTCCTACAATTTTCGTATTTGAGTTATTAATATAAATAATATTTTCACATAATATGTTAGACAGTATTGTATATTAGCATTTAGTGTAGACAAAATCATTTTACTGATAGCGGCCAGTCTGGAATGACGTAAAACGTACGGGTCCAAATAATAACCCACCATGCAGTAAGTGAGTAAATCGCCGTTTTCATATATTACGTTATAATATTTATTACGTTAATTTTATTCATTCGGCGTGTTCATTGATTTAAACATTTTATTTTATTTTACTATTGGTATTAAAATACAACACATATCTACCGTATTTTTTACTATAAATTTACTATTCAAAATGAGTAAAAACTTAGATGAAAAATGAAAATAATATTTATCAAATACTATACGAAGAAATTCCATCCGATGACAATAGTGAAACTTCATGTGACGATTCTGATAATGACGAGGATTACTGTTTGCCTTCACGTGAAGTCGTAATTTCCGAATCTGAAGAAGATTCGGAATATGAAGACTCAGAAATTTTGAATTTAGATAATCATAATATTTATCTACTACCCTCACCTTTGAAAAAAACTCGATTATCATTAAAAAGAAAAAATATTAACAGAGATGGTAAAATTCCAAAAAAAGTACCAGTTAGTCGTCGTCAACTGTTTTCTAATTTTAATTCTGATGAAGGTAATATGTCAGGAATTCAGCCACTAGCTACCCCTTCTTCGAGTCAAAGTTCTCAACCTCAAATAAATATACAACAAAACCACAATGAAATCAATATTCCATTCATAACACCAATTTGGACAAAAAATAATAATAATATGTATTCAAGTCCTTTATTTATTAGTTTAGAAGGCGTCACAAGTATTATAGAAAATCTCCCTTTTTGTAATCCAATTAGTATTTTTAATACATTATTTAATGATGAGATTATGAATTTAATTGTTTTCCAAACAAATCTATACGCCCAACAAAAACAAACTAAAACCGGAAAATCATTTATACGAACAAATTTATCAGAAATAAAAACTTTTATTGGAATAAATCTTCTAATGGGAATAAAAAAGCAGTGTAGTTACAGGGACTATTGGTCATCTTCGCCAGATTTGCACGACTCATACATTAGTAGTCTGATGCCCGTCAACCGTTTTGGTTGGCTATTGGCACATATACATTTAAATGACAATACAGTTATGCCAAAAAAAAATACACATAATTACGATAAGTTATACAAATTAAGACCATTTATAAGTATTCTTTTATCTAATTTCCAAAAAACATACAATCCACATCAAATTGTTTCTATAGACGAGAGTATGGTTAAGTTTACAGGAAGAAACTCAAATAAACAATATATGCCAAAAAAACCCATCAAAAGAGGTTTCAAAATTTGGTGCTTAGTAGACAAACATGGGTACTTGTGGAATTTTGAAGTTTACACTGGGAAAGTTGGTGATAGTGTTGAAAATCAATTAGGAGCCCGCGTGGTCAAGCAACTGTCACAACCACTCCAAAATAAAAATCATTTATTATTTTTTGACAATTACTTTACTAGTTATCCGCTTATGACATATCTCAAGTCAAAAAATATTCATGCATGTGGAACTATAAACTTAACAAGAAAATATTTGCCTAATTTAAAAAAAGATAAAGATTTAAAACTTGGAGAGTATGATTGGTTTGTCGATCAAGGTGACACTTCAATTGTTAAATGGCGCGATAAAAGAATTGTTAGCCTTTTATCAAACTTCCACAACCCTGAAGATGCTACAGCGGTACGAAGAAGATCAAAGGATGGTTCAATAACTATGGTTTCATGTCCAAAAGTTTTAAGTGAATATAACAAACACATGAACTGTGTCGATAAATTTGACCAAAACAAAAAATCATGTGAAATTAATAGAAAGGCACATAAATGGTGGCATAGATTATTTTTTCACTTTATTGACACAGCTATTGTTAATTCACATGTAATTTATAAACTGCAGACAACAAATACAAATATTACAATGAAAGATTTTCGTCGAGAAATATCTAGAAGTCTTGTTTCTAAAACATTGGTGGAAAAAAGAGCAGCGCAAAATAAATCAAAAATAAGCCCAGTAGAATTGAAAAAAAATAAACCATCTGTACCAAATATAATTCGTCTTGAACAAGCTGCCCATCAACCACAGAGGGGTACAAGAAGAAGATGTGCCAGATGTAGTACTAAAAAGAACGAAGTTCGTACAGAATGGATGTGCTGTGTAGTGTGTATGTAATGTCCCGTTGTGTTTGGGAAAAAATAAAAACTGCTTTGCACTTTACCACAATACTCAGGAAAGGTAAGACTTTTTATTAAGCAGTTAACACATATTTACCAGTTTCATTAACATTTTAATTTTCACTATTTCAGATTTTGTACAAACAATTCATAGACCACAATAGTGCTATACATAAAAAACACATTTTAATGGAAAAAAATTGTTTTTATTGTATTATAATTTATAACATTCAGTTATTTTTATTTGGATTACTTTTTAAAAATTTTTTTTTTATATACCTACAATGTATAAAACATATTCTACATATAATAAGTGTATAAAAGTGATTAGACATATAAGAAATAAATAAAAGTTGTTAATTTAAAATGTAATATTATTTTTATGTTATTGATATACCTGCTCAATAAAATCTACTACATGCTGCATGGTGGGACATACGCCATCCCACCTATCATAACTTTGTTTTAAAAAATATTAATTTTTTTTTTACACCAAGATCGTGTTATTTATCAAAATAATATTTGATTTTTATACTCAAATCACTAAATTTCTAAAATAAACGGTGTCCGTGCAGCATAGGTATAAAAAAAGTTCAGACCCCTGTGCCGGAAAGAGTTAACAGTAAATACACCAACAAGTCCAAATACTCCAAGTATACCTCAAATAGTAACACCAAGTGAAATTAGACCTTTTCCAAAAGCAGGAGATAGGAAAAATAATCGTGCAAGAAAAAAAATGAAATCTACAATACTTACTGACACACCAGAAAAAGAAAAATTAAGAGAAGAACAGGAAATAAGCAATAGAAAAAAGGAAGCCAAAAATTTAAAATTAAAAAAAAGAAACTTTCTAGAATCAAACACTAAAAATAAGAATAAGAAAAAATCAAAACCAAAGACAATTGTAGCAAGTTCTGATGAAGAAGATGATTATTTTTGTATAGTTTGTTTGGGAGCTTATTCAAAGAGTCGAAAGGTACAAGATTGGATTGAGTGTACTTCATGTAAGAAATGGGCACATGAAAAATGTGCTGGAAAACAAAATGTGTTATTTTATAATTGTAAGCATTGCACTTCGGACATAGACGAAGATTAATTACAAGTGATTTTATTATTTTATTAAAGTTTAACAATTGTTTATATTTTGTTACTGCCTACTTATTTTGNTAACTGTATTATATTATGTATATAATAATAATAGGTAGGCAAAATATATAAAAAGATAAGTCATGCAATATTATTTATTTTTTACTCAACTTTACAAAGTATAGAAAAACAAACATGAACTCACATTGATGATGAGTAATAATAAGTACAAATAAAATGTTACGAATACAGTTATATTAGCTATTTAACATTAAATTGTGTTTGAAAGAAGTTATTATAATAAAATCATATTATGCATTGTGCAATACAGTGATACGCAGTGAAATACAAAAACAAAAAAGTAAGAGGTCATAACATTCTTACATTTAAACGTTAAAGAATGAATATAAATTGACAGAGATGTTGTTCAAACCGGAGTCGTTTTTCGCGCCGGCGACAAGCTGTGTGTCCGTGTGACACCTGTCATGTCACCCCGCTGGCCTTAAGACGATGAAGTTCGCTTGCGCGAACTTTTGGCGACCGGGGCACTGACCACCAGTTGTTCCGCGGTCCGGCGTCGTTTTGTCTTCTTTCTTTTTTGCTACCACCGCCGTCCGGTAAAGTTCACCGCGACCGTGGGTGTCGGTCATTTTTATATCATTGTATCACGTTGCCTGTGTGTCGACCGACAACCTTTCGTTGTACCTTGTACCGGGTTTGATTTCCCGTCACCCGTCGTACGTATTTACACGTGCTCGCACTTTTGCGTGCATAATATTGGATTGCGCAAACTATTATCATCGCTGCCAATCGTCGTGGGATTCCGCCATCAACTGTGACCAGGCACCAGCGGTATCGTTGTATAATTATTCTTGATTTTTTGTTTGTACATATTTATTTGCATATTGCGCCTTTGATTGTAATATTGTATTATTAGCAATCGTCCGAAGAGACGTCTTCGGCGTTGTGCCTTGTACCATGTTAGTTTAGTACCAGTAGACTGGTTATTATATTTTATTTTATTTTATATCATATTTATTGTTTTTTTTTAATATTATTACCTTTTACTCCCACACATTCCGCGAGTCGCTCAGCAAACTGCCCAAGCAAGTACAGATGTGATAACATGAATACAATAATATTAGCTATCAACATAATATATAATGTTACATAACAAACTGTTTAAAAGTTAATGATATAAGCTTAATAATAAAAAACATGATATTACACATACAATAAATAGTACTACAAATATTGTATTTTAATAATAATATACATGCGGTTCAATACTAATAAAAGACATACAAAAAGATTATATTATATTGTTAACCGAGCAGTAAAAAGTTACATAATAGCATAACATGAATATATATAAAAAAATAAATACAATCTCAATTATGTATTGGTACATTACCGATATTTAGATTGTTATTAGAAGTTATTCATACAGACAAATATCGAATTGTGTTTAAAAGTTAATGATATAAGCTTAATAATAAAAACATACTACACGTACAATTAATTATAATACAGATATATTATATTAATAGTCTGAATAGGTGGTTAAATACCAATGAGACATACAAAAATGTTAAATATTATTAACTGAGGGTTCCAAAGTAAAAACAAATGTAAAAAGTTACACAATATCATGGTATACCATGAATAATAATATATTATAAATCAAATAAATAAAATCAAAGTATAGGATTATAAATGCAATCTCAATTATGTTATTGGTACATAACAGATATTTAGATTATTATAAAAGTTATTAATCATGCAGACATAAATAAGATATAAATTTTATGATATGATTTCTATAATTATAATAATTTGATATAATAATCTGTAAATACTAACAAAACATAGAAAAAGGTTAATTATTGCTAACTTAATGTTACTAAGTCACATATTATCATATCATAGCATTAAACATTATTTTTACATTTCAACATTGATCATGTATTTTAAAGTGGATATAAATGAATATAGTGTAGCTGAATTAATAACAGGGAATTAATTTTGAACTATATTATACTAATTATTATTGAACCTATAATGTTTTTGTGATCGTGCAATATTGTTATTATATTTTTTCAAATCCTAGCCTTTTGACATTTGTTACGAATACACCTTTGAGTATTCGCATCCAGAGAGACCACGTGAAGGTTGTCAAACTTTCTCTCCGCACTTAGACCCCTCTAGGGTCACTTAGGCCCACGGGGGATTTTCCTTAATCCTTGGAAGTCACCTAGACTTAAAAAGAATAACAATATTCATTGCAACCGGCAACATTGCCCACATTACAAAACTTCCATGTAAACAATATTTTTGGTGACAAATCGACCATCATCCCCGTACATGCTAACTCTCAGTGACTGTGCATTTCTCACTCTCGAGAACGCCACGTACAGTAGCCCGTGCATGAACACGGGCGACGGCAGTAGCAAACCCACTCGGTCGAACATCTGACCCTGCGACTTGTTGATGGTCATGGCGAACGACAACCTTACTGGGAACTGAACACGCCGCATTATAATGGGCAGGTTGTCCTCGCCGCTGGACGTGAGCGGTATCGCAGGCACGACGATATCGTCCTGTGCGTCACCGTTCAAAATCCTGGCCTTGAAATTGTGATAACGCAGTTCGGTGACCACCAACCTCGTGCCATGCACAGCCGTCTCTTCGGATCGAGATTTCTGAGCAGCATGACGATTGACACCACCTTCAACGTCAGCCGGTACGGCGGCAGGCCGTCCGGTTTCAAACTGTTGAGGAATTCTGTGGGGAAATTGGCCACTTCGTCGGGATCGTCGACGACCACGGTTTCGATGGAGGTGTAGCTCCTCTGGGCACCGTCGACGCGCTGCAGTACGTCCCTGTTGACGGCTCGACATTCGTCGTTCCTGGGACACAGAACGATTCTCCGAGAAAAGTCGTCGACGTTGGCCAATGACATTTGCTCCGGATAGACGAAATCTATGAGATCAGCAACGTCACATGTCATTTCTCGGGGGATATGCACGGTGTCTGGGACACTGTCGACCGTTGCCGAGCTGGAGCAACCAAGCGGCGAAGCGCGCGTCGTTGTCGGCGCGCATGTTGCGGACCAGGTTGAAGCGCTCCATGCCGCGCCACAGACTGTTGTGCTTGATCGAGGCCATGACGATGTCAGCCCTCGATCCTCTTCGGACCACAGGCAATATCTGCCTGAAGTCGCCCGCGAACAGCATGGGTTTACCGCCGAACGGTAATTCTGATCCCATGACGTCCCTGAGCATGCGATCCACCACCGTCAGTTGCAGTTCCGGGGACATTGGTTAGGTTAGGTTAGTCTAGGGTAAGATTGGTTTTCATCATTAATCATAATCGTGCAAGAAAAAAAATGAAATCTACAATACTTACTGACACACCAGAAAAAGAAAAATTAAGAGAAGAACAGGAAATAAGCAATAGAAAAAAGGAAGCCAAAAATTTAAAATTAAAAAAAAGAAACTTTCTAGAATCAAACACTAAAAATAAGAATAAGAAAAAATCAAAACCAAAGACAATTGTAGCAAGTTCTGATGAAGAAGATGATTATTTTTGTATAGTTTGTTTGGGAGCTTATTCAAAGAGTCGAAAGGTACAAGATTGGATTGAGTGTACTTCATGTAAGAAATGGGCACATGAAAAATGTGCTGGAAAACAAAATGTGTTATTTTATAATTGTAAGCATTGCACTTCGGACATAGACGAAGATTAATTACAAGTGATTTTATTATTTTATTAAAGTTTAACAATTGTTTATATTTTGTTACTGCCTACTTATTTTGTTTTGAAATAAGGCAGTTGCCTATATTTATTTGTATTTTATTTATTTTATTACTAGTGATTTTATTATTTTATTAAATTATAACAATGTTATTTTAAAAATTATAATTATTTATATTTTGTTTTTAAATAAGGCAGTTACCTATATTTATTTGTTTTGAATAAGACTGCATCAGCATAAATACTCTTAAAAAGGAAAATTGTTTATTTATATTTTGTTACTATAAACATATTATATTATAAAATGTGTTTATCATTACTCTTACTGTTGATTTCTTAATTATTTTGGGTAATAATATTTCAAAATATAGAATGTAACAATGTGCCCCTGGACTATAACAACTTACCCCACCCGGGGGTAGGTTGTTACATTTTGACTTAGTGACTTTACCAGGGTTTTTTTAGTATTAAAAATTAATTTTTTTTTATTTTACTATCATAAAAAGATACCTAAGAAAATACTTAATAGAATGGTGTTACAAAAATTATGATCATAGTAAAAGAAAAATTATAAAAAATCGATAAGTCAAAAGTGTAACAACTAACCCCGCTCTCCCCTACTTTAGATAGAAAATCAAATTAGTTAATTTATAATTTATATAAAATAATGTCATGAAGATAAATCTATAAAGTATATTGGCCAGATTTATAGACGGTACTTAGAAAAATCTTAGTATTATCTCAACTAAAACTAGAAATTGGTATTTATAAATCAGACTTATGATATTTACTAAGAATTATCTTAGTTATATTTTAACTTAAATAAATCCTATGTTTTTGTATTTATAAATGGTACTTTGAATAATTTTAAGAAAAACTTGAGTAAAAATATAGAAATATCTAAGGTACCTACTAATCATGCTTAACAGTCACTCAACAGACACAAAATTAATAACTTGGTATAAAATTGTTACTTTTATACTATTAAATTGTTGTTTGATCTTTTATAAAAAGTTGATAATTTTGTTTAATTTATTTTTTACTATTTTAAAATGGATATTAACTATCTTGATTATCTTGATGATTGGCTAGAACAAACTATTCGTATTCCTAAACGATATATACGTGATATGCAAAACTCTATTGAAGGGTAAGTAATTTTGAAATATTTTTTAATAATTGCCCTTTACAAATATTTATTAGTAAACATTACTAGATTTTCAGATTTGCAATTTTTCCAACGGTTTAGGTTTCCAAAATATATTGTGTTAGAAATAATTTTACCTATGATATACTTGGATAATATGGATTGCAATTTTGATAGAAGTGGGTTAAAAATCGATAATATTACAAAAGTGTTAAATGCCCTACGTTTCTACACACATAGAAATAATGGAGTTGAATTCAGTTTCAATCAATTGTTAAGTAACTAAATGTTAAATTAACTATAATTTGTATAATAAATAACAACTAGACTTGATATTTTATAGAATCTCACCGTGTTAAAAGGTAAACAAACTTGTGATTACACTGAAATCGAAAATATCACGTGTTCTAACATATGATACAATAATTTTAATCAACTTAACTCTTATCAGTAATTTTATATTAATTATTCAATTGTATGCACATTGTAATGTGCCTGGGGTCTGAAAGGGTTAAT